GTCCTGTAAGGCAGCGTTCAGACTTCGCGACGGCAGCGCTTCGGTCACGCGTTCGCGCGATCGATGCGCATGCTTTCGACTGCATCGATCGCGTCGAACGCGCGACCGAAGCGCTGCCGTCGCGAAGTCTGAACGCTGCCTAAGTGAGATTGAGGAGTGAGTGAATGAGTTGCTGTCGACGTGTCATTCAAATAATACTGCTTTCCTGTCCATGTACTGATTATAGCCTGTAGCCGCGCACTGTCAGGCGGATGGGGCGGCGCCACGCGTTTTCCGCCAGTTGATGAAGCGGGTAAGCGGAAAGGCTGTAGCCTGTCGTCCGTGTCAGTCGTTTACCACAACTTGTTTCGCTCACTCGCTTTAGCAGCTGATGAAGGACCGCTCCCGCACCGCGCCAAACCCATCGCGTCTGATATGCCCTACATCTGCAGCAAACAAGGCTGTAAGCAGTATTGTCCGTGCAGAAATATTCAGTTCTTCTCATGTTCAGTCTTTCTTGCGATGAGATATTCAATGTGACATGGCAAGATAGCTGAAGGAATCTCCGCACTTCACGATGCAGGTTATTGTGCTGGGTTACTCAGTTCTGATTCCATCGTGATACCCGAAAGTGACGATGAAGGATTGGCGACTGTGCGCCTCACACAATATGCCGTCAGGTGAGCAATCGGTACCACTCTCGCAACTGTTCGGACTTCTGATGTTGTTTTTACAGTTATATTTCTAACGACGGTGTTGATATACAGAATGGGTTGCCTATTGGTTTCTCCTTATCCCCGGAGCAGCTTATAAAAGGATTGAAATCTGGTGGTACAACGTTCAAAACGGATATTTGGTCACTCGGGATTGTATTACTGGAAATGGCCACGGTATATCTGTTATGAGTCAGTTTTACTCAAAGATTGAGAATGGCAGCATTTGCATTCCCTTGATCTTTCCCCAGTTCTTACTTAAAAGAAAAAAAGTTGAAATGGATCGTCAAGGATGTTTTTGTAGGGTGTTTTATTGCGAGATATCTGGTCGCTCAAGCAGTATATGACAATATTGAAATGTAGCATGTCAAGAGGTACAGTACAGCCTACTTTACTTGACTGTCTTGAATTTGCACAATTTTTTTACTACGACAAGTGAGGATTCCTGCTAGTTGATAGGAATGTTGCGTCACTTCACAGCACTCCTATTCGTTAGAATAGAATCGGGGTTGAGTTCTCTTCTTCCCAAACGCAGCATAAACAGCGCTTCTCGTTGGTCTAGACGTCTGATTTTTCTTCAGTCAGAATTCTAGGAACTACTATAAAGGAGACATCGAACAACTTTCCATGCTCTGATGGTACACTCCATATTCCGGAGATGGGGAGGCGTGTCTGCGAACCCCATACCCCAATGTTCGGCAGTAGCCCCGCCCATCCCATATTTTGAAATGGATTGTATGTCACAGATATTGGTGGTGTTTACTACCTGTGGGTGGATAGATGAAGAAAGGTTGCGGAAAAATAATATTCAGAAACATCATGGTGTTCCGCAGATTACTTACAACCTAAAATCTGGTACATTGGGAGCCTCCGCCCTGGTTGTGGTTTTCGTCAACTTTCACGATTTTTTGGCCTAATCGGGTTTGTCGATGTGAAAGTTATGCTGAAAGTGCTCCTTTTACTAACGCGATCTACGCTGGCATTGATACTGTTCGATATCTATGGGTGATGCGCCCTCCCCCCCACCCCCCCCCACATGGCTCTCAGACCACTGGGCGCTTGGAAAGGAGCAGTTTGCACTCTCACTATTTCCGTTTGCTATTTCGTGAACCAATAGGTCTCATTTCATTGATACGGTCTTCGCTGAGTACCTGTCGGTGCCCTTTAAGCCGAACTGCGCGAAATGGCTGTCCTCACCGGAGAGCGTTTTGTGTGTGGGCGGTTCGTTCACGGTTTATGGGCCGTCCTACAATTCAGCATATGGTCAGTAACTCTTTTTGTTCACTGGACCATGTTTTTTTGCGCTCATAATCATTGACATCTGCCTTGCAAAACTGGGAATTGGAATCCCTACCGTGCTAAATGGTGCGTCATCTTCCTGATCTTACTCGCAGGTTACCCAAACTGGGAGTTCTGCTTCGCTTGCAACACATTTCTGAACTAAATTGATCAAGCTTGTCATTTCAGCCGTTAATGGTTCACTTTTGGACCCAATATTGAAAGCGTTACGGTCGGTATCTCACTCGGCGCGAGATATCTCGGAGTTGGACCAAAAATTACTTGTTATCATGGAGGAGTGTCTTTCATTGTTGCCCTCGAAACGTCCCACTCCGAATGAGATACTCTGCATTACTCGCCAAGTCCAGAATTGCGATTCTTCCTACTTCGAATCCGTGGAAAGTCTTGGTGGTACGTGCCAAAGGGCGCTGTTTGTCGACGGGGGGGCATTTTGTACTATCATTGCTTCCTCAGTTCCAGTTTACATGTCTTACACTGGCGAAACCTGTGAACACTTGTGCAGCTGGAACAAGGTAGTCAAGTCATCTTGTTAAAACCTGTCAACTCGAGAAGAGGCTGTCTAGACAGGCCGACACGTCGTTGGGAGGTAGCAAAAGTGCAAAATGCCCCCTCGTCGACAAACTGCGCCGTGCCAAAGGATTGGAGCTTCTGTAGTGAATCAACCTCTTTTTTTTGATTTCAGAGAAAATAAGCTCTAACAGCAAGAAGGACTGGATCTTGCGAGAAATGCCGGTGGAAGATGCACTGTTTCTTTGGAGGCTTTGTGGATCTTCAGCTGAAGCCTTGTTAATACGCAACAATGTCATCACTCTTCGCCACCAAGTGCTCACAAACCCGAGGTTCTGTCAGTGTAGGATCCATTTTAC